CCCAACTTCAGCGGCTTCTCTGTAGGTGGGGGAGGGGGAAAACAGGGCAGACACCCCGCTCAGCCTGCTAACTGCACTTGTCCTTCCTCCTGCCAGCCCCTGACCCCCTGGGTGACAGCATCCACAAGAAAAAGCACACTCGGCCCACCTTCACGGGGCACCAGATCTTTGCCCTGGAGAAGACCTTTGAGCAGACCAAGTACTTGGCTGGCCCTGAGAGGGCCCGGCTGGCGTACTCCCTGGGGATGACCGAGTCGCAGGTCAAGGTGAGTGTGTGCGGGAGAAGGTGACTGCCTGGCAGAGAAGGGTGTGAAGGACAGGATGCATCTTTGCTCTCCCAGCAACTCCCAGCTCTCAGCGAGGGGCCTCCTGCTGTTTGGGCAATGCCTGCCCACCCAACCCTAGAGATGGAGATAATTACCTTAACCACAAAACGCTGTCAAGACTGAGCCCAGTTTTGAAAGCTTTATTTGTAGCAGCTCCTTTGACCCTCACAGCAACCTTATGGTGGGTATTACTACCCATGTTACAGATTAAAAACGGTCTGAGCTGAGCCTCACTCAAGGTCACCCGGGGGGTAAGTGCAGAGATGGGAGTCAAACCCAGATCCATGGGACTCCAGCCTCACGCTTTCCTCTCCTCTGCACCGTCTGGGCCGGACAGATCAGGAGTCAGCCTCTGGGCCACGTTAGGACTGGAGCCAGGCTTGTTCTATTAGCTGGCAGAGGAAGCTGGCCTTGGTTTAGCAAACTTTAACGTTTGGGAAAGTTCGGATGGGATGCCAGATGCAGGGAGCCTGGAAGACGCATGCAGGGGTCACGCTCATGCCCATACACCCCAGGGAGCCTGAGATCTGTAAGGCCTTTTGCCTCCTGAGGCTCCTCGGGCAGCTTTGATCTCTCCCGAGAGACTGTGAGAGCCAGGGCACCAAAGAACGCTGTGAGCTGTGCTGGGACTGCCCGGCTCTGTGACATGGCGACAGGCTTAAGGGTAAAGGAAGTGCGGGGGAAGGTGGGGACTCAGGACGGTTCTGGGCTCTGCTCGGGGCCCTGGATCTCCAGCCACTGAGCCTCCTGGCCAGCCCAGGATTCACTCTGCTGGAGAGAGAGCTGCGCATCTAAGTGGAACGAAACGATGTGGCTCTCTTAGATATTTTTCTGCTTTAGGTGCTTTTGTGTGCTCTTCAACGGTCTCAAGCATGGAGACTACATTATTTTTATAATTCAGGGGAAATTTTTTAATGAAGTTCAGTGAGGGACTGTGGAGCTAAAAGAAGGGGTGACTCTTGAACACCTACTGATGTGCCCTCACCTGGTTGCACCCTCCCCACCCCCGTGTCCCAGCATCTTCCACCCAAGCACCACCGGGAGGGTTACAGCTCAGCCTACAGGGCTGCTGCACTCGCAGTGTTTATTGTGAACTGCCCCCTAAAAAACTCGCGTGCATACGACAGCCTGCTCTGTCATTAAGCCACTGATTTACTGTGATAATAAGGACCGCGAGCACTTGCCACCGAGCGGAGCCCCCTCCGCCCAGGGCCGCGCGCGCCGTGTGCGATCCGCGGTCTCTCTCGCCCCAGGTGTGGTTCCAGAACCGCAGGACCAAGTGGCGGG